TTATTATTATTATTATTATTATTATTATTATTATTACTCATTATTATTACTATTGTTGTCGTTGCTGATAGGACATTATACTTCTACGCAATTTATCTTCATTGATTGTGATTCTATGATAATTACAGTGCATCGTTATTTGATAATTTCTTTTTCTAAAAGTGGCCAAAATTTTTAGCGATGTCAAACTTTCCCGTCTATAGGGCGCGATCATCAATTTGCTTACCGCGATCGCGCTCTATTGATCGCCTCGGTGATGTGGCCACTCTTTCAAGGTTTTTGTTTCGCAAACCGATTATTTCCTATTACTCTATTTTGATCATGCAATATTGACGAAGAGCTATTGTTGGGAATGTTGTTGGCTAGAATGGAATTTTATCACCAAATATGATAATAACAATCATAGTAATAATAGAAAGAAATTCTTAGAGTGAGCTCGGTTCCCAATTTGGACTCGTATCATGTGAGCGATGCGTATCGGTCATCAACTCTCTACAAATATCGTCGTGATTGGGATCTTGTAAGTGATGATGATCTTGCCTGAAATTTAAAGATTTTGAATCGTTCCTCAATCAATTTGTTCATGAGCGAAATCGAAAGAATCCGACCAAAACTACTCTGCTTCGGAACAGACATTTTTAAGCAATGCTTTCGACGCCTTTTCAATCAACAAATAGAATGCTTCGTTCATAAGGCAACAAAAAATTTCACGAATAATAAAAATATCAAAACAAAAACATTGCTTGCAGTTAGACGATTACTGGTATGATAGAATGTACTTCAATGCGCCGCTCTATTGGCCCGACTATAGGTTCACAGCGAGACGTTACATCAACACAGACCCGATACCACAAAGTGCTGGATTTTATTATCCGGCATTCTGGTTTGTTAGTTTTGGATTTCGCTTTTTTTTCGATACTGATGAGGTATTTGTTCCTCTAACGTGCTCAGAAATCATCTTTCTAGGTCACGCTACAAATGGTATACGGATTGGTTGAATCCGGTCTATTGGAGACGATATCGTGACCCGAATTACGATCGTCCTCTTTGGAACAATTGGCAGCCATGGCATCTGGATCGTGTGAATGTCAAACGTGCTATACAAATGTATAGAGAAGGTGACTGTGTGCTCGGTGATTTCGATGAGTACAGTAATTTGAATCATCTTGAAACTAGCTAATAAATGCTGAAATTCACCTAAATCATGAAAATTTAAATGACTGATGAAAATTCCCTTCACAAATAGAAAAATAAGAAGTTTCACTGAATAGTGGTCAATGATCACATGTAAATCCTTAACGCACAAATTCATAAGCGCAGAAAGACAATTACGGCAAAGAAAAGAACACACAATCATCGTACACTTCAATAGTAATACCAGATTTCAAAAACTCACTACATCAATGCCTTTTGATGTATTCACTGATAATGGCCAGCAAGACAATTGTAGGATTGGTTGACTTCAAAACGTTGGACAAGTACTGGATTGAGCCGTCAGCGTTGGCAAGAAAGGGAAAGGATTGGCAAGATATTTACCCTCCAGCAGGTTCGTAGATCAATTTGATCCATTTCCCCAACAACCACTCATTTCAGTTTGATTTATGGGCGAGTTTACTCAACCGTTGCTGTTCCTTGCAGTAAAATACCTTAAATCATTCAACAGAATCATTTATTTTCAACTTTACTTTCAGGTCGCTACGGTGCTCGCAGATATTTTTATTCATTTTCCTAATCATTGAATTGTCAAGCTCATATGAGCTACGATCCAACCGATGAATATGATGACAATGGCACAAAATGAACGCAACGAACTGATTTGTGTTAATCTTAAGAATAAATAATCAATCACTGCAAGCTGCTACTGCCTTAAACGAATATTATCGTTATTATTTTCATCGCTGATATTACAAAATGATCATATTTAATATGCTTTTTCTTCCTTCATTTTCCTATATAATACGAGCGCTGGTCGTACATACACCTGAAACGAACCTTTCCAACAACATATTCATACTAGCTTCCTTCTCATATGTGTATATTATATATTGACGACACAGTTTGTTGAAGATTTTTTCAGTTATGTAATGCTTCAATTTTGTGGATTATTCGGAGTTGTCGTGCACAACAAACACATTACATGAAACACATTATATACGCATTGATATATAGATCTAGCAGATGGCACGCATTAATAAAACCAATATCAGCCACTATGAATGATTCCATTTTTTTCGTATTTGATTCATTTTCGTTAATGGAGTTGTGAAATTTATTCATCATCCAAAACTGATAATGATTAACGCAAATGATAATCGTCATTATTATCAATCAAAAAATAAAATGACAGCAGAACAAAACGCTTATACAATTTATGTGATGATATGCAGGAAGGTATACGTACCCATTTCGGTTATCATTACAACATGAATGATGATGGTCATTATTATTAGTTAATTTTGTTATCATTAACACTTAATCTTATTTCTTGTGAATTCTGTGAAAATAAATTTAAGAGATAAGATGGTATGAAATCAACAGCAGCAGTAGCTGCACATCAATCCAACCGGTAATAATGTTTCGAGTGAATAAACATAGGTACATACAGCAAGCAGTTACACTTTTATGCTATTGTACACATAGATGTCATGTAATTACTTTCTTTAACATATTCTACGTCTGCAATAACCAAACATACAAATCCATATACAGCGCGAAGCATATCGTACATTTTTGTGAAAAACTTATTTAGTCCATTGATGCGCACTGCACTCACATAAGGAAATGTAGGAAACGTTCATTTTAAAATAATGATATCAGTTCAGATCAATTTCATGCCAACCAACAACTGACTGAATCGGAGTTTGTAGGACATGACTTGAACAAAACAAATTACTTATAAACATGATGGAAACGGAATGAAACTGACTTAAGTAGCTCTGAAGTGTACTCAATTATGATAGACTGCTCAACAAAGAAACAAATGAAGGCAACAGCGATGACTATCTATGAAGTCATCTGACGTAATAGGACAACCTTGTAGACAACAGTCGCATTATTACTTGTTTAACTGACAGGACTAAGTTTTAGACTTTGCTAAAGGCCAAGATGAAAAATTGCTAAACCATTATAACATCTATCCTCTCGTTGCTCATTCAAACCAGTGACATGTGTATACGTGTCGAGTTTCGGCCAAATAAATGTGGAAGAAAATTATTAACAACGTGAGACGAAACGGTGAAACAAGCATAGCTAGCGGATAAAAATGAAGCAATAAATTTTTAAGGCCCCTAGTTTTAAAAATGATTATGATAACAATAATAATGACTTTAATAACGACGATAATGAATGATGATGGTAATGAACAATAATCTGAATATAAAACCCATGTGATGGTTTGCTACTGCGAATCATTTATTAGTCTTTCGGAGGATCGAGCCAGTAGAAACTGCTATAAGAAGCTTGAAAACAACCACCAGAATCATTACAGAGTTAATAATGATAATATATTATAATAAGAAACGTTGAACAAATTACGCCAAATGCAGCACTTCAAATGCAACAATTGTTTGGTTTCTTTAATTTGTGAAAATTCTGCTTATTATCAATAAGATGAGGAACTTTTGCTGAGAAAGCCTATTAGAGTTCACATTTCACACTTCTGTTAGCAAAGTCTGAATTTGATTTATTCATTACCAAATGATTTGCACGCAAGTGTAATGAAATACATTTGCAAATAACAGCAACAACATCATTCACTCTCTCATAACGTTCGTTCCACACAATTCGAATCATATTCCAATTTGATCGACTTCAATCGTCGTTCCAACTTGTTATTGTTAGCCATCAATTGCTTGTGATGTCCAACTCCAAATGAATATGTGTTGCTTTCGTTGTTTTTTGTTGTTGATGCTACTATACTACATCGTCTCAGTTCTTCGTATTTTGAACTGCAAATCGTTCAAATGAAATTCTTTATCAAGCAAGCAATATTTCTAAAATGTTGATCCTGAAACAATAATACTGATGACAACAACAAATATAATAATGATAATAATACCCATGATTTAAGCCATCTGAAATGTTCACGCTATTATTAGCATCGGCACTGTTATCACTAGCATTGCTCCATCTACTGCAACCAGGATTTTGACCAAGTGCTTTAGAGATGCTGCTTTTTGGCGACGGCAATCCAACACTGGTCGCTGAACCACTTCGATCGATAATTGCATTCAAGATCGCTTCTGATGACAGATGGCGTTGTTGCTGCTGATCTTTAACTGAACTACTTCCACACAATTTTGAGCGTTCCGAAACTCCTTCACAATCGGTTGTCGGTAAACTTGGTCGACTCCTTCGAGCTTAAATAGGTACCTCTGAATGATCAGCGGTTATTAACCTTTTTCGTTCAAACACACCTATCTGCACTCATATGGCAGCCAAATCGCCCTCTTCCCCTTTCCGGTGCAGCAGTGCTTAATACAGCTTCGAGTCGAAAAGATAGTGTTTTTGATAATTTTTAGGATTTATTCTGCACCGTCACCTCGTATAAAAGAATTTTTTGGTAGTACCCAAATTGAGAAACACTGTTTTGGGCAAATGATTTCATTGAACAATTATCTATCTGCTTATATGATGAGCAACAACACAATAAACTTTTAGGTAAGCACTATCATGACTTCTCACTCCTTTGTCAAATCATACGTGCATTTTATGGTTAAATAACAACAACAATTAATAACTAACAACTGACCAGTTACAAACCACCTCGTAAGAAGTGGCACAGCTGTGATGAAACGTTCTCGGAACGCTTCATTCATCCATGCATATACAATTGGATTCCAACAAGTGGCTGTCATGCTAATTACATGTGCTGATAAAAATAGAAAACTGAAGTAGGGCCTGATAAAACTGTCTAAATGTAAGTCACGAAGAATATTGCTGAAAATAAAAACATGCTCCAGTATTTCTCGATGTGAACAATACCGCCTAACACTGACTGAAAACAACAATTGGAACGCTTTTCATGAGAATTAATGAATATGTCAAGAGCATCGCAATGTTTTCTTCTTATCTTTAAATCGACAACGAAATACTGCTGTACTTGGAGGAAGAGTGTTACGATTTGGTCACGATTTGAGACGAAGTGGTGACTGAAAAGATTAGGAACTGTTGTTTCAGAGGATGAGTTGATTTTTTGCCACTTAGTAAACGATAATCGTAATGTGATGCAGAAAAAGTGAATGGCGAGATGAAAACTGAAAAGAAAAACTCACAGAAGATTGAACGGAAACCAGCATATTCCAAAAACAACAACCATTATAATCAACATTCGTAATAATCGTTTTCTGCGAGCATTTTCATACTCAGATTCACGTTGTGAAACCATTGAAGTTCGATTATTAAGAAAATTCCAAATTTGAATATAACTGAAGCCAATAATGACGAATGGCACGAAAAACTGAAAAATCTCGTGTATTTTCCCAAAATACACGCATGCTAGAAAACTTCAAAGGCAAGCCTTCAAATCGAATGTGTTTTATTGATTCCCAATGAAACAAACAAACCAAACAAATAGGAATAAGAATTACGCCGACTGTTCATATAGAAGCCAATAATTATAATAAAAGAAAATGACATTTACAGAAAGCACTGGAATAAAGTAAACGCCTCACTTGCAGAGCCATAACGATTATACCGTACATACTTTTCAAATCTTCCATCGCCCAATCTTCAAGGCATAGCCAAAAATCGCAAGGCCTTGGAATATACGTCATTCGCATATGAACCGCATAAGGCATTACAAGTAGCAAGGATACTGCCCAAATAAGTGTTATAATCGCGATACAAACCTAAAATTTGAATACTTCTCATTCATCCACCACTCAATCACATTCAATCCCTATCCAATTTCGGCTAGCTTTTATGAAGAAATTAACCGCTCAGCGCTCTAAATGTGCTAAAGGAAATAATCAGTGTGTATTATATTATATTCAAATCAAATTATCAATTATTGCGACTAAATAGTTGAAATAGAATATGCTTACTGGCATACTCATATGATCGTTCATATTCGCACTGCTGCTACTATGATGAACGATCACGAAATAACGATCGATAGCAATCGCCATCAGTGTAAGTGTCGAAATGAATATTGAAGTTCCTTGAAATAATGGCAGTCCATAGCATAGCCATCCTCCCCAAATCCAGTGCCCAACATACGTATAAACAGGCGTTAACCATAGCGAGCTGAATTTATAGAAACATTTAGTCTCTATTCTTAATGCACTCGATAAAACAAAAAATGATAGACGTATAAATGGCACCTTGACCGGTCAATCTACCTAAAGGCATTTACCCTAACGACAGTTTGCCTAAAGACACATTGCCTAACGGATAGTTTGCCTAACTTACGGTTTTTCAATGGATATTTTGCCTAATAGGCAAACTGTTCCTTAGGCGAACTGTCCGTTAGGCAAAATATCCGTTAGACAAAATGTCCGCCTGGCAAATTGTCCGTTAGGCGAACTGTCCGTTAGGCAAACTGTCCGTTAGGTAATGTGTCTTTATGCAAACTGTCATTAGGCTAGACGTCTTTAGGCAGATTGACCGGGTACCAAATGGAATGAATGCTTCAAACTGAATATTAAACATACGTGAAATTCACTAAAAGATCTGAGATGGCGAGATTCGTAATGAAAGTATTTGTGACGGTTTGCATCGTCTTATTACTAATCACAACATATACAACCAATGAATTACCCGAAACAGCGAGTGTGAATATGATCAAATACGCTGTCGCAAAAATCACGCGAGTGATCAACAAATCTGTTAGAACCTTAAATAGGTCTTCGCCAATTTTCATTTATCAACTGAATTTGCAAACAAATAATGATAATCATATTGATAATAAAGCAACTCATTTAAATTCTTATTGCAACATTTCATTTCCGTTTTCATGAAAGTCGTTGACTGCTTTGGTTAATACAGATATCTGCATACTTTCAGCTTTGTAATGCTAATGTTTGAGTCATTTGTGTTGAAACGTATATTATCATCATCGTCATTTTAAATGTGACGATGGATCAGCAGTGATTTTTCAAAAAAGAAAATTTCACCGGATCCTTCACTATATAAAATACCAATAACATTAATGTTAACCATCATATTATTAATAGTAACAACAATAATAATAACAGCAAATTCGTTGTTCTTTTATCCAATAAACCATCCACACATTCGATAAAATTACAGTAGTGTGCGAATTGAGTGCTCATTTCAAATTGAAATCAGGAGATAAAACGACCAATATATGAAGTCGAAAAGTGATAGAGAAAATGAATGAATTTTCATTCGGTTAATGAAATTCGATCATTAGCTAATGAATCCATTCTTATCTCAATCCCAATTTGCTTAGTCGGAAAACTCATTACGCTATTGCTGTTTCGATGCTTCAGTTAATGAGTCGGCTCAAAATACACATTCATTATTGTAGCAGTATAATCATTCGCTGGTAAAGTCTTCCCGAATGATCAGTTTGATGTTCGACTGGTTGCTTGCAATTACAGTTGGTGATGAAATGCATTTTCAAAAGATTTTTTAAAAACTCACAAATTCATCATTCATCTACTATCACATTTACATATCAGATGCAGTCAGCTACAAATACAAAAAAATTCAGCTGTGCACAGATTGAATTTCTGCCAGAAGCCTCTAAAATATTTCTCATACGCACGATTATTGCATGGTGATGTGACGACCAATTCTTACTACACTCATAAGTTCAGTTACATGCATGAATTCTTGGAATAATTTATGAATCACATAAGCAACTTCACAGCGCTAACATTCATTTTAACCTTTACCTTCTTTCGTTTATAATGAAATTTAAGTGCTGAAAAAAAGCAACAATTTCCATATAACCGCAAAATGAATCGAAGTGAACGAGTAGAAATGAACAGCAGCAACAGTAATGAGCAAAACAAATTCGATCATACACTCAACAGTTTCATGAAAAACCAGTAAGTGAAGTAATTAAGCTAATTTAATCTGAATACTGAAGCACTGGAATACTGCGAAACGGAGCATAGCGGAAAAAATACATGCATTATTCATTACTGAACATAAGTAGACTCTGATAGCTTAAATGTAAATGATTGAAAGCAATCGAAGAAAGTGAAGACTTGAATTATAATCGTTGTTGGTGAATGACAAATGTTGACGAGGAAAGGAAAGATTAATTTTGAGGACGAGTCAGATTTAAAATTGAAAGAAAATGCAAAAATTTGAAAGTTACCTTCGTGCCGCTGCAACTGATGAAGCCGTCATGCAGAAGATCTGCTGTTCCTGCTGGTGATGGTTCAGTTGTCATGCTGACGCTACTGCCGATGATGCTCTTGAATACGTAAGCAGCAGAAACATTGGTGGACATAATAATGTAATTGACTTCTAATGACGAAAATATGACCAAATCCAAACCTAAATGTAAGGTCGGCCCAACCTTGCAGGATAGTGCTATGCGAGAATGTTTATCTAGTTGTCGATATTGTTAACGTTCTTAAAACTGAACCCCTTCACTTTGCCGACGAACATCTTCCATTTGACGATTTGTATGTCACAGTATCACTTAAGCAAATCTGAAATCGATGAATAGTTGCACTGTAGTGATTTTAATTTATACAGAAAACGTTTATTGAGAAAATCTGGTCTCATCCTCCGAAAGTGTCTTTGAAGTTGTGAAAAACTTTTCAAACAATTCTGAAAGAAAAGAATTTGTTTGAAAAGTTACATCATCCAGTTGTCTTTCGTCTGAGACGTCACTTGCACTAAACATCCTTTTGAACTGTTTTTTGACAAACTAACGCAGAGTTTATTTCCTTAGAAAACGACAACTTCTTGGAAGACATGACCAAGAAATGTTCCAAAATTTGTAGATCACTCGCTATGGCATAAACGTGCAGCAGTTAGACGAAGAAAAAGTCAGTTTTGCAACCCTCGAAATTTTTCTCCCAGCGAAATTATGTATAGCTGGTTCCTGTCTGACGAGCACATTTTCGAAGAACGAGACCAAGACCAATAGACCAAAAACATGAGCCACAATGATGGTACGACAATCAGTGGTTGCTTCATCGATTGTATTTCAATTTAAAGCAGCAAGGAACAATGTCAACTACAGTGTGTTGAATGTATTCATGACACCATTAATTGAGGTAGATAATGAGATCAGGTCTAGACTCGGCATCAACTTAAATAAAATATCATCAAATTTCAGTTCGATGATTGGTCACGCTAGTGAAGTTGATTATATATCACAAACGCATCATAGCTAAGTGATTAAGTCTAACAGGATAAAACCTTTCTTCTCGAATACACTACAAATTGTGAGTGACGAACCGCTTTTACTGTATAAACAATAAAACGTTATCTCGTACCCCCTCCTGCATCCCTTACTCACCCCCTTTCATCGCACCCACTCTCGCACCCCCTATTACCCATCCTCTCTCGCACTCGCGGTTGAGAAATCCTGCCCTTCATTTGCTCATTAGATCAATTCAACATGAATCTTTTCAGCTGTAAGTTTGAAGGAAACGGACAATTTGAAAATTGGTTAGTAAATTTGCAAATGCTTTCCTATGAGCGATACTTTTTGAGCTTTATTTCGCGATATTATACTTCATCGAGTGAACAAATCATGATATTTTGAAAAATCGATATAAAAAAGGAAATACTTAAAATATTTATAAGATCAAGTGCTTCTATCCGTCTTTATATTTATGAGAAACAATATTCGTAATGAATTCAATAACCTTACGGTTAGAATTTGGAGCGGTCACAACCGTGTCTGGCTAAAATATCGCATAGAAAAATGAGCGGTAGAAGAAAAATGAAATCACATTACTCGATCCTGTGAACAAAGTCAACATAGGGTTTGATCATCTTGATGAGTGAAAGTTGTAGTCGTTATAAAACGAATTGTTGCACGCTGATCACCAGAAATCACCTTATAACTTATAACTCCATAACTTCAAATACAGTAACTTGTCAAGCGATCCTCATTGTATTTTGAACTCGTTTACATATCAACTAGAAGCAGGTATTGCAACGAAAAGATGCCAAAAAAGAAACATGAAAGTTTGCTTGTATCGTGCTAGCAACAGCAAACACTAATAAGCAATTCAGCATTCATATTGATATTAGTTATCGAGCAACAAGTTAGTCCGCATTTCACTGATCTACGGAGATGAAAATATGCCCAGGCCAACCTCACAAACAACTTAAAACATTAAATGGTAACAATTTGGTACAACTGGCGATAATCACAATGAAGTACGGCGACGGACTGCATATGAGAATAATCGTGGCTTCGTGGCCAGGAAACGTTTTTCAATTTAATAGATATTTTAAACCGGCATGACAAAGCCATCTGCGTGCTTAATAGATACCTGGTACAACTGGACCATTTACTCGTTTAATAGATTTCTTATCCCACCATAGAACAACCTTTTATTTGTTCACCAGATATCTTTCCCCAGTATGACAGAGCCATTTACTTGTCTCAAACATATCTCATCTCGGTATGACGGAACCATTCATTTATTTTATAGAAATCTCATCTTATAATCATCCCGGTAATACAGAAGTGCTTACTTGTTCAAGGAATCCGGTACAAGGGTCAGCTTATGCATACCAAGTGAATAGAGTTATGATTTTTTATTGGATTAGTATTTGGCTACGTTTAATTGTGCAAAGTATTCACGGCAACTAATTAAATACTTGGTTGTGTTCACTTGGCCTGCTCACTTAGCCAGCGGGGTGGCGTCGATCAAGGCTAAAACAGTGCGAACGGAAACGCGAGTATTGAGGTCAGCAATGTTACAAACGTTTGATAGCCTGGCCAATCCAGGTAATCCAGGTAATAAGGGTCAGCTTAAGCCTGAGACCAAATGTAATCAATCGTCGTATTTTACTCTAATTTTCGTTATTCATTCAGTATTCATCCATAATTGTGTACAAAAGTTTGGTCGTTTCTGATGTGACAAGGATTTTATACTTGATGATGATGACTTGATACATACAAATGACTTGTTCACATCAATGAAGTGAAAATGATAGTGCGGGCAGAGTAAGACTTCACGAAGATGGTACACAACGATACAAGAAGTGAAGAGGAGATGTAGTAAGGATGAGAAGGTACACAACTGAGGGTGACATCTGATAATTCTGTACGTTTAAACAAGTACTTAATTTTGCATCAGTAGTGTTAAAATAGTAATTGTATCAGAAAATGTAGCTCTCATTTCGAGTTAAAAAAAAGAAGAAAGGCAGAAGGAAGGTTGAAATAACGTAGGTCGGATATTTTGAAATCAATGATAGTCGCAAGTAACCAGTGGGTGGATGATGAGGAAACGCAAACAGGGATGACGATAACGATGATGATGAGATGAACAGGTTCAAATCCACCAGACCATATTTCTAAGATTCTCAGTCGTCGGTCTTGTCATGCGTTGCGCTGCTGGATAGAGATCGTGCAGCGACAGCAATAGCAATAGCAATAGTAAGAGCATCAGCAGTAGACAGCCTCGGGCCAGTCACCTTCTTTATAATTTTATATTTTTGCATGCCAACGCCCCTTCTTGGTGCCACACATTTGTGGTAACCACTGATATATTTTTGTTCAAAAAATTATGGGCACCGACCGCGAGTTTCAAAAAAAACAATGAACATGCAAACAAGCTTTTTGTTCTCATCTAATCATCCCACCTCCATCAGTTATACGTACTCCTTGAAATATGAAATGATTTGATGAATCAATAACAAATAGTTTCTTAATTACTGAATAGACAGGTGGATGTTGAACAGTTGAAT